GCTACACTGAGCGTACCACTCATGGAGCTGCTGGAGCGTAAGTGTCTCGCGTGGACGCCGCTGCAGCTGCAGCTGGCCACTGCCATACGCTCCCAACTGACCAGCTCCAGGGCGACAGCTACGACGGCTACCGCGACAACCCCAGCTAGTATACCACTCATCAAGCTGCTGGGGCGTGAGAGGCTCGCGTGAACGTCGCTGGAGCTGCATCTGGCCACCTGCCAGTAGCAGTAGCAGCAGCAGTAGCGCGGGCAGGGCAGGCGCGGCAGGCAGGCAGGCAAGCAGGCAGGCAGGCAGGCCGACAGGCAGGCAGGCCGGCAGGCAGACAGGCAGGCAGGCAGGCAGACAGACAGGCAGGCCGGCATGCAGGTAGGCAGGCCGGCAGGCAGGCAGGCAGGCGCGCAGGCAGGCAGGCAGGCAGGCCGGTAGGCAGGCAGGCAGCCAGGCAGCCAGGCAGCCAGGCAGCCAGGCAGCCAGGCAGGCAGGCAGACAGGCAGGCCGGCAGGCAGGCAGGCAGGCGCTCACCAAAGGCTGGGAGAGCAGGCGCTCACCGGGCGAGCAGGGCCGGCGCTCGACGGGCGGCGGCCGAGTAGGCGCACGACAGCGGCGACGTCGGGGCCGCAAAACCGGCTGCAGAGCAGGGCCGAAGCAGCTGCAGGGCGGGGCTGCTTCAGCGGCAGTAGCAGGGTGGGGCCGCGTCAGCGGCAGGTCGGGGCCGTGGCAGCTGCAGGGCGGGGCCGCATCAGCGGCAGGTCGGGGCCGTGGCAGCTGCAGGGCGGGGCCGCATCAGCGGCAGGTCAAGGCCGAGGCAGAAGGCCATGCGCGGCTCGGCGCGGGCTGCGCTGACAGCACGATAAGCTGCTGCAGGCCGCGCGCGGCCGCGCTAGGCAGTAGCGGGCCGCGCGCGGCTCGGCGCGGGCTGCTGCGGGCCGCGCGCGGGCCGCGCGAGGCAGTAGCAGGCCGCGCGCGGCTCGGCGCGGGCTGCTGCGGGCCGCGCGCGGGCCTCGCGAGGCCGTAGCAGGCCGCGCGCGGCTCGACGCGGGCTGCGTGGGCTCGGCGCGGGCTGCGCGCGGCAGCAGCGGGCTGCGCGCGGCTCGGTGCAGGCTGCGCGCGGCTGCAGCGGGCTGCGCGCGGCTCGGTGCGGGCTGCGCGCGGCTCGGCGCGGGCTGCGTGGGCTCGGTGCGGGCTGCGCGCGGCTGCAGCGGGCTGCGCGCGGCTCGGTGCGGGCTGCGCGGGCTCGGTGCGGGCAGCGCGCGGCAGCAGCGGGCTGCGCGCGGCTCGGTGCGGGCAGCGCGCGGCAGCAAGGGGCCTAACGGTCTGCAGGGGCTGTTCGCGGGCCTGAAGGGCGTGTAGGGGCGGCGCGCGGGCCTTACGGGCCTCTAGGGGCAGCGCGCTGGCCTAGGGCAGCAGGAGGCAGCGCTAGGGCTGCTGGACGGCGCGCATAGTGCAGCACGTCACAAGGCAAGGCAAGGCAAGGCAGGCAGGTACGTGGGGTAGCGCGGTAACCGCAGCGGTAGGTGGGCCCGAAAAAAAACGGTCCTACGGACCTTAGTTCTCTGAAAACATGTTAGAATCTAGCAGCAGGAATGGATGAACTAGCAGGATGTAGGAGTACAAGTAGTAAACCCTAATTGGGTTGTACCCCATATGGGCTACACCACTACAGACTAGACAATATGCAGCACAAATAGTTTGACAGATGTAATAAATTGCAGGGTTGCAACCACTCAATGGCGGATCTGCATTTACTAGAAATACTACATATTATAATGTATGTTCCATTTTAGACTAGCTAGTATATGTGGCACATTGTAAAAATATTGGAACATTGTAATATCGTGTTCAGCGAGCATCGTGACTAGCGATTATCGTGACTACCGATTATCGTGACTAGCGAGCATCGTGATTAGCGAGGATCGTGACCTGCGAGCATCGTGACTAGCGAGCATCGTTACAAGCGAGCATCGTGACTAGCGAGCATTGTGACTTGCGAGCATCGTGACTAGCGAGCATCAAGACTAGCATCGTGATTGACATCGTGAGAATGTAAACCGTTAAGATGTATAAGTAAATTTCAAATAAATTCCTTTATCAATCCGTTAAAATGATTGAAACCAATTATTCTAAAAATAGATTGTTCAATCAGATCAAAGAAAAACATAATAATACTAAGAGAAGCTAATCTAAAGAGGGAAAAAAATAATTGATAACCTAGTAGATTTAGCTAGCTTATGGATATGTTAAATCGCTACAACGCAATGGCGCAACGATCGAGCGGCGTAATGATTGAGCGGCGCAGCGACGCAACGAGGTCGGTGTTACGAATCGTAATATTTGATATTACTGTGCACTCCTCACCGCAGCAAAGGGAAGCAGGCAATGTCGAGAATGAACGTGAAGCGACCGACAGTTGGAATCAAACCGAAGAGTCAGACGGTTACAGCACATCTGGACCGTCGGAAGGAGACGGCATCGGGCAGCTGCAGGCAGAATGGTTTTGGCGGGAACAGTTACGAAACTGTACGCGCCGCACGGTTGGGAATGAATTTGAATAAAGGAATGTACTGTCAGAATAGCTAGGCAAGAATGATTGAACTAGCAGAAGTTTGGGTACAAATATGAAACCCTAGTTGGGGTTGTACCCCATATTGGCTACCCCACTACAGCCTACAAGCATAATACAGTTTAACACACCCCCATAGGCAAAGTGGGGGAGAACAAAGGGTCACAAGACCAGTCCAGCAAAGCAAAGCAAAGCCCAGGGTGGATCACAACGTCACCACACTCCGAGCACAAGTAAAGGCCACAAGGCCAGTTCACATGCAGTGCTAGATATAGTACAAGACAAGCAACACAGTGATCAAAACCTAGCAAGCAAGCAACAAGATATATATAAAGTACAGTACAAAGAATGTCAAGCAGTGAGCAAGTGAGGAAATGTGGACACAAGGCCTAAAGAAGTACAGTGCCGCTGATGATCACTAGGCGGGAGCGCCTTGGTGAAGATATCAGCAGTGTTGGCCTTCGAGTCCACGTACACAAGCCGAAGCTGACCGCGCTGCTGAAGCTCTCGAGCAAGAAAGTAGCAAAGAGCAATGTGCTTCGTCCTGTGCTCCAGTCTGTGCTCCTGACACAAGGCAAGAGCCGCCTTGTTGTCACCGTACAGAACTGGAGGAGAACTAGGCCGCTCTCCCAAGTCAGTCAGCAGATAGGTGAGCCAGCGTAACTCCTGTGCAGCCATGGCTGTGGCGTAGATCTCAGCCTCACAACTAGAGCCGAGAACAGAGGAAGAGCGGGTGGACCGCCACGAGACAGAACCAGAGCCAAGGCTGAAGGTGTAACCCTGTGACGACCGCTGCGTAGCCAGGTCGTCCACCCAAGAAGCGTCCGAGTGACCAGTGAGGACAACTCTGTCACGTCCTCCAAGCACCAGCCCCATGCCTGATGTACTGCACAGGTAACGCAGCACCCTCTTAGCAGCCTCCCAGTGCTCTCGCCTGTGTCTCCCAGGCGCAACGTAACGAGCAAGGATGCTAAGAGGGTACGCGAGGTCAGGTCGCGTGCAAGTCATCAGGTACATGAGGCAGCCTACAAGCTCTGGGTACGGGCCACTCGGCTCTACGGACTCGTCCGAAGGTGGAGCTGAGAGCGAGTGGCTGGTAGCCAGAGGTGTGGCCTGTGGTGAGGAGAACTGGAAGCCGAAGCGCTGAAGGACCTGCTGCACCATGTGTGACTGAGTCAGGGTGATGGTGCGGCGAGCTCTGTCCCGGGTGATCTGCAAGCCAAGGTAGCTACGCAGTTCACCCAGGTCAGTGCACGTGTGTCTCTTCTGCAGCTCCGACTTCACACGAGCGAGTGCCTCAGTGTCAGCAGTAGCAAAGACCAAGTCGTCGACGTACACGAGAATGTAGAACGGCGGCAGCGACGTGTCTGTGCGCAGAAACAGCGACGGGTCAGCAGTAGACGGCGCGAACCCAAGAGCCGCAAGTGTAGTCCTCAGTGTGTCGTGCCACTCACGTGGCGCCTGGCGGAGACCGTAGACTGGCCGGCGGAGACTCCACTGGGTACCAGGGGGAAACGACCCAGTAAAGCCAGGTGGGCGGCGCAGCCAGATCTCCTCGTGCAGGCTGCCCTGCAGGAACGCTGTGCTGAAGTCAAGAGAGTGAAGCTCGTAGTCACGCTGAGCAGCAACGTGCAGCAGAACCCGAAGAGTGGTCATCTTCGGGGTGGGGGAGAAGGTCTGGAAGAAGTCGACCCCCTGACGCTGACTGAAGCCTCTAGCAACGTAACGAGCCTTGAAGACAGGCGGAGAACCTGGCGGCCGCTTCACCCTGAAAATCCACATGCCATCGACGATGTTCGCCCCAGGAGGGGGAACCTCGTCGACGTAGGTGCCTGTGGACTTCCAGGATGCCATCTCTGCGTCCATGGCTGTCTGCCACTGAGAGGAGTAGGGACCCGAGATCGCCTCTGCGTAAGTGCGCGGAGTGGGGATGTCTAGTGCATCCGGGTCTCCCTCAGGGGCAAGCAACCAGGCCACGAGATGAGGTACAGCAGCCGCAAGAGAGTCAAAGTCCTCCTGCCTGTCCTCAAGGACGTCCGTGCCAAGAGCACACTCACCCCCGACGGACGGAGGACAGACAGACGCAGACTCTGACTCAGCAACAAGGCTAGCAGCGTAGTCTAGACGACAGGCAGCAGCAAAGTCAACCAACTCAGCTACCAGAGCAGACGCAGCCGAGGACTCAAAGGTAGGGTCAGTGACAACAGTAGCGAGGAGACGCGTGACTGTAGGGTGCTCAGCGCGATACCGGTCAGACTCAGGGTCCGGAACGGCAGGCAAAGAGGACGCAGGAGGAGACGGTAGAGGGACACGCCGAGGAGCAGTAGAGGGACGCAGAGTCATGTAGTGAGTGCCTGGGACAGGAGGAGGACGCTCACGACGGACACGACTACCAGTGCGAGCAGGACGAACAGGCGACACAGGACGAGACTCAGGCTCACGACGCTCTGTAAGACCTCCTGTGGGACCAGTGTAAGGAGAGGGAGCAGGGAGAGGCGAGGCAGGCGGTAACTGTGACTGCGGCTGGACAGGCGGAGGACACTCTACGGAGGGAGGAGGACAAGGAGGAGGAGCCTGCCCAAGAACCTGCTGAAGGAGCGGTACGAAGTACGGTCGCGGCCGCGCAGCGTCTCCAGAAGCAGAAGAGACTCCAGCGGCCGGGTCCTCAGGACCAGCAGGAGCTCCAACGTCCGGGTCCCCAGCACCAGCAGCAGCGCCACCGCTCGGGTCCTCAGCTCCAGCAGCAGCTCCACCAGGCGGGTCCGCAGCACCAGCAGCAGCGCCACCCCCAGAGTCCCCAGCTCCAGCAGCTCCAGTCGCAGTGCTCCCAGAACAACCAGTCCCGGCAGCTCCAGTACCCCCAGTACGAGCACCCCCAGGACGAGCAGCCCCAGCACCCCCAACTCCAGCCGAGCCACTAGGACGGCGAAAGCGCCGGACGTACCAGTCACGAAGCTGCTGCGGTGTGAGAGACTGCTCAGCACCCCGAACCGGAGCACCCCCAGACGCAGTAACCCGAGGCTCCGTAGGCTCAGTAGCAGCACCCCCAGGCTCAGTACCCGCAGGCTCAGTACCCGCAGGCTCAGCACCCCCAGTCGCAGCACCCCCAGGCTCAGCACCCCCAGGCGGCAAACTCTCAGGCACAGTACCCTCAGCTCCAGCACCCGTAGTCCCAGCACTCCCAGGCCCCGCACCCGCAGGCTCAGCACCCCCAGGCTCAGTACCCTCAGGCACCGTACCCTCAGCTCCAGCACCCTCAGTCCCAGCACCTGCAGCCCCAGCACCCCCAGGCCCAGCACCCCCAGGCTCAGCACCCCCAGGCTCAGCACTCCCAGCAGCACCACCCGCAGCAGCACCTGAGTCACCTGTGAACTCGACAGGCTCAGCGACGGGAGGAGGGTCTACCTGAGAGACACCTGAAGGAGCAGGACCCTGAGGGGGAAGGGGGTCTACCGGAGGGGGACCAGGAGCAAGGAAAAGCGGCGGGGGAGGGAGGGGGGCAGTGCGGTAGGGGAAGAGACGGTAAAAAGGGACCGACTCGTCAAAGGTGACATCCTGAGAGGCGAAGACCCGGCGCGAGGTGGGGTGGTAAAACTGCCAGCCAGGCGCGTCAGGGACAAAGCCAAGGAAGACACAGGGAAGCGTGCGGGAGGAGAGCTTGTCCGCGGACGTATCGCGGACAAGGGCACGAGCACCCTACACCCGGAAGCGCGACGCATCGCCAACCTCCCCCGTCCAACGCAGTGTGGGCGAGGTCTCCGGCAAGGAGACACGGGGCCAGAGGTTGAGCTGATGCGCGGCGTACCGGACAGCAAACGGCCACAGAAAATGGGGAGCCGCCGCGTGGACCAAGGAGGTACGAGCGACCTCCATGACCAGGCCAATGCGGCGCTCAGCAACCCCATTCTGCTGTGGGGAGTCCGGAAGCGTGAAGGTCTGCTCGATGCCCTCCGCCTGACAGAAGGTCCTCAAGAGATCGGAGGAAAACTCACCACCTCTGTCAGAGTGCAGACGCAGGACAGGAAGATCCGTCCGGAAACGGCGGCGGAGCTGGAGACGAACCGTGCGGATCCAAGGGATCAGAACAGCAGGGACCTCACCCTTGGTGCGCAAGGGGAAGACCGTGGTGTAACGCGAGTAGTCGTCGACAACCAGCAAAAAGTACCGCTCACCGCCCTGACCACGAACGCGGGCTGGGCCCCACACGTCCAGGTGGAGGGTCTGCAGAGGAGCCTCTGTCGGGGGGAACGAGGAGGAGTGAGGAGCGGCGCGCTGCCGCCCCTCGACGCAAGGAAGGCAAGGCGGCGCAGGCGAGGCAGGGAGGGGAGGGAGGGACCTGGGAAGACCAGACACAAGGTGGCGACGGTGCATGCCACGAAGGCGTGGCAAGGAGGGGTGACCCAGGCGGTGGTGCCAGAGAAGAGTCTGGTGCGACAGGGAACGACACTCACAGGCGTGGGCTACCAGACCTGACGCAGACACCTGACCGACAGCAGCGACCTGAGGAGACGCAGTGGTCAGTGTGTAGAGACTCGACCCCGGCCGACGGGTAAACGTAGCCAGGTGACGGCCGGTCCTGGAGCACGTGCAGATCGCCACACGCTGTCCGCCAGGGGTAAAGGTGTCAACCCACTGATCCTGGAGGACAGCGTTGCTCACCAGGTTCGTCGAGAACGAGGGGAGGTGGAAACCCGACAACGAGCCAGACGGAACCGCCGGACAAGGGAGGACAGTGGTGGACTGGGCAAGGACTGGGCCCCCAGAGGGGTCAGCCAAGGAGACTGGGACCGGTGCAGGAAGCGGTGTGAGCTCAGTACTGTCACGAAAGAAGCAACGGGAAGCACCTGAGTCAAGGGTGAAGGTGTGACAGGCCTCAGCCGGTGCGGTACCTGAGAGAGCAGTCTCTGTGGGTGCTGTACCTGAGAGAGCAGACTCGAAACCAGCCAGGACAGCACTGGGGGGAGCAAGTACAGGGGGCACCATACCAGAGAGAGCAGACTCACTAGTACCCAGGGCAGCGGGCTCTATACCTGGGTCAGGCGGCACACACAAGTAACAGTCTCCCTCGGCACTAACAGTCAATGCATACATGGCAGCAATAATAGCATCATAGTCAAGAGCAAAGACATCAACACCAGCCCTCATGAGCTCAGCCCAGCGGGGGCGCTCAACATCCGCGCCCATCTCCTCACGCCAAGCGTCGTCAAGGCGGGAGAAGCAGCGGTACGGGGTGTGGAACCTCCCACACGTCTGTCCCTTGCGGTCACCTGTGCGAATGACATAAGAACAGCGGCCACTGCCCCCCGACGTCCCACGCTGAGCAAGCCACTCACGAAGCTGCTGGGTCGTCTGAGGACGCTGCTGCTGCTGGGAGCTCTGGCCCGAGCCAGTGCCTCCACTCCGACCGCCGCCGCCACCACTACCACCGCTCCGACCGCCACCGCCACCACCGCCACCACCGCCACCGCCGCCACCGCCGCCGCCGCCACTACTGCCACTGCTTCCGCCGCCGCCCCCGCCTCCACCACCGACCCCACTCCCACCAGCGCTCCCGCCACCGCTCCCTCCAGCACCGCCTCCCCCCCCACCTCCCCCACCTCCTCCCCCCCCAGCGCCACCACCACCACCCTTGCCCCCCTTGCCCTTGCCGGTGCGGCGCCTCCCACCAGGAGCAGAAGCAGCGCCAACAGACTCAGCACCAAGGAAGTCAACAGCAGCAGCAGCAGCGTAGGAGGGAGCGAGGGGAGAGGGAGAACACCCCTCAAAGATGGGGGTGCGAGGAGCGCCACGAGCAGCACCAACAGCTACAATGCTCTTTTCGGCCGCGAGCAGCTGCTCCTCTAGGAGGGCGACTGTGAGCTCAGTGGGACAGCGAGCAAGGAAGTGGTCTCGAACTGAGCGGAGGGTGTCAGGGAGACGGGTGACTATGAAGTGGAGTGTCCAGTATAGTGGAGGGGGGTTCTTAGCGCAGAACTCGGTGGGAAGGGCGGCACGCAGGCGAGCATCACTAGTGCGAAGGTGGGTGATAAGATCGGCGACTGTAGTAAAGGTGGACAGATCGGGGAACAGGTACGGCAGCATGAGGCGGCTAAGCTCGGCTGTGGCAGGCGAGGAGTAGCGAGCAACGACAGCATCGTACAGGGCCTTAGCGGATTTGCAGTCGCCAAAATGCTCGAGCTCAGCTAGCGGCAGGTGACTACGAATGGCTAGGCGAGCAGCTGCGTCACGAGTCTGCCAGTGGGAACGAACACTAAGCTCGGCTGTGGCAGCAGGAGCAGCGGCAGCACCAGACGCGTAGTCATAGAGGGAGATGTGGTCCGTGCTATTGCTCATAAGATACAACTGCAGGTCGTCGAGCCAGGAAGTGAACTGCACGGGACGGCCCTCAGCATCGAAGGAAAGAACGCGAATAGAGGCCATAGCTCAGGCGTGAGGGCACAGCAGAGCAGCGGCAGCAGCAGAGGGGACGCAGCAAGCGGGCAGTGAGGCAGCGGGCGGCGCTGCGAAGCAGGTAGCGGGCGGGCGGGCGGCGCTGCGAGCGGGCAGCGAAGCGGGCGGGCCGCGAAGCGGGCGGGCCGCGAAGCGGGCAGCGAGCGGGCGGGCGGGCTGCGAAGCGGGCAGCGGGGCGAGCGGGCTGCGAAGCGGGCGGGCCGCGAAGCGGGCAGCGAGCGGGCGGGCGGGCTGCGAAGTGGGCGGGCCGCGAAGCGGGCAGCGGGGCGAGCGGGCTGCGAGGCGGGCGGGCCGCGAAGCGGGCAGCGAGCGGGCGGGCGGGCTGCGAAGTGGGCGGGCCGCGAAGCGGGCAGCGAGCGAGCGGGCTGCGAAGCGGGCGGGCCGCGAAGCGGGCAGCGAGCGGGCGGGCGGGCCGCGAAGCGGGCAGCGAGCGGGCGAGCGGGCTGCGAAGCGGGCGGGCCGCGGAGCGGGCAGCGAGCGAGCGGGCTGCGAAGCGGGCGGGCCGCGAAGCGGGCAGCGAGCGGGCGGGCGGGCTGCGTGGCGGGCGGGCCGCGAAGCGGGCAGCGAGCGGGCGGGCGGGCTGCGAAGCGGGCAGCAGGACGAGCGGGCTGCGAGCGGGCGGCTCGGCGGGCGGGCGACACTGCGAGGGGCGCGCGAGGGCGCTAGTGAGGGGCGCGCGAGGGCGCTAGCAAGGGGCGCGCGAGGGCGCTAACGAGGGGCGCGCGAGGGCGCTAACGAGGGTGCGCGCGAGGGCGCTAACGAGGGGCGCGCGAGGGCGCTAACGAGGGCGCACGAGGGCGCTACGAGGCTAGGGCACGGGGTAGCGTGGTAACCGCATGCGAGCGGTGGTGGGCCCTTAAAAAAAAAAACGGTCGGTAGGTCCTAGGGACCTCCTGCTCTGAATACCATGTCAGAATAGCTAGGCAAGAATGATTGAACTAGCAGAAGTTTGGGTACAAATATGAAACCCTAGTTGGGGTTGTACCCCATATTGGCTACCCCACTACAGCCTACAAGCATAATACAGTTTAACATGTACCCCTTAGAGTACATGGCTAATTAGGTCGTTTCGTATTCCCTTGTACTCATATTTATATTTCTTGTATTTGCATGTTTTATTTCATCTCAAAGCATTTTACATTCACTCTGCTATTGAGGTCAAGGGCCCACCAAACTATCTCACTGCGTGCGAACCTTCCCGGGTAGATCCTGGGCTATGATCAACTTCTGATCGCAGCATGGTATGAGAGCGGCTCGGGAATCCTTCGCACTGCCACTCCCGAAAATTGCGACATTCGGAAAGTGGCGTCCGGCACATGCTCACGAGTGAAGATGGCCGGAGGATCTGGTGGTCAGACCAATCTGACGGCTGAAGCGCAACCAAACCCGGCTGCGACAAGCGAGAACACGACGACAATCGGCTCCGAAGTTCCCGCACAACTTCTTCAGCGACTCACCAGCTTGGAGCAAGGGCTCCGAACATTGCGGAATGGCGACGCGGGAACATCCTCACAACCCTCTCAACCGGCCCCGACTGGCCAGAACGCCACCTCGCAAACATTCTCCCTCGACACCAATGGCTCAACCCCTAAGACTCCCCGTCCCAGTGAAGAGGCAGTTCTCTCCGCCCTATCAAGGTTACTCAGCATATCAAAAATAAAGACAAGTACCTGTTTTGACGGCAGAGATTTTTATACCTGGAGCTTCGAGTTGGAGCTCCTGCTGCAGAACGCCCGAATTTTCCATTATTTTGACGGGAGCTACGCGGAGCCCGCTGAGGACACCGACGACGCCAAAGCGAGGTATTACGACGAATCGTTGATGGCGTACGGGGTGCTCCTGCGGAATATGTCGCCGGCAGAGCAGCTCAACATTCGTTCTTACAAAACTTCGGCTGCTCCAGCCCTTAACGCTTGGCGGCACCTGACAGGAGTCTATCAGCCCAAGGACTCTGTCTCTTCGAGACGACTACTCCAGGAACTCCTGGAAACCAAGATGATAGCGGGGGAGAAGGTCAACAATTATCTCAATCGCTGTCGGAGCCTTCACGACCAAATCGTGAAGCTGGGAAGCACGATTTCAGAGGAAATCTTCGTCAACATCGTGCTTCAAGGGCTCGGCCCAGAGTGGCGGCCCTGCAAGGCGCTTCTCCGACAGCAGGGGGTCATCTCGGAGGCCGCCCTTTGCGCCGCCCTTCTCGTCGAACAGAGGGATATGGATCAGCAGCGACCAGCGCCACGACGAGAACGAGAACGGCTCGCCTTCTACGCCGACAACACTGAAGAGCAAAAACCACGGCGCCTCTACTGCAAAATCTGCAGAAATTTCGGGCATCTGGCGGATCGATGCAAGAACCGATCCCGCCCTCGCCAGACCAATCCGAGCACCTGGTCCGGCCGTCAAGATGCACGAGGCGACGTGCGTCCAGCCCAGGGGTATCAGCCCCCTCCCGCGCGCAATCTGAACCCAGCGGTTCAGCATCAGCAGCAGCAGCCGTCATCGACTGCCCCAGTTCGCAATGTCATGAGCAACATGACCATGGCAGGCGAATCGCGTCGTCGCCGCGTCCGCTCGCCTTCACCTGAGCCGGCACCTCACCCCATTGGCGCATTCACCAACAACAATCCGTTCAGTCCGCGCCACGATTTCACCGACGACGACGACCAAGACTGGAATCTTCCAGTCCCACTGCTTGAAAGTCTCCCGCACGTACCTGATATGCGGGTGGCGCCACTCGATTGGCTCAAGCGCGAGCAATTTTTGAAGTTCGACACTCCGCACATCGTCACGCCGCGACTGGCGCTGCTCGCCCGTGACGACAACAAGCGCTACAACACCTGGTACCTGGACAGCTGCTGCGGCCAGCATATGGTGGGCTCCGAGCGTTACATATCCAACGCCATCCCCACTCCTACCGTCACTTATGTCACTGTGGCGAACAACACGCACCTGCGCGCAAGTGCGCAAGGCATCGTCGTGCTCAAAGCACGCGGGAGCCGCACGCATATCACGCTCAACGATGTGCTGATCGTCCAGAACCTGTGCTTCAACCTCCTGTCCGCCGCACAGCTCATGGATTGCGGCGTCGACCTCAGCACCGACCGCGCGACGCGAGATATCCTGCTGCACTATGAGGCGCGCAACTTCCCCCGCAGGCAGATCGGACGAGCACACTCCGAAAATGGGGTGTACGTCCTGGACTTCGATATTCCCGACTGCATCGGCTACTCGCACGAGCTCATTGACCTCGTGCCACTGCGCTTTGAGCACATCCACCGCAGGGATTGGAAGCACCCTGACGGCAGGCCGTGGGTGCCACATCATCCCCACCCACGCGAAACGGCGCTTCACAACCCCAATCCCGATGGAATCTGCAGGGATTGTCACACGCCGACAACCTCAACGAGCGCGATCGCAGGCCGCGGACTCGCCGCCATCGCTGAAGCAGAGCACAACGCGCCGCCTGAGGAAGGCATGTCGCAGCTCGAACTTGAAATTGCTACCCACGGTGTTTTCGGCACGAAGGAACATCCCCTTATCGGTCCCCCCTCACAGCACCTGCAAGGCATGCTGCGCGGAACAGGGGTCGGGACCTTCGATGCACTTGGGGAGCCGCGCCCCTACACCTACGAGAAGTTCCTGGAGGACTACTCGACTCAGCGCGACCCGAAGAAGAAGCTTACCGTGGAGCAAGAAGAAGAACTGGCGCGCCGCGAAGCTGAGGTGCTTCGCCAGCAAAGCCTCGCGGAAGCACGCGGGACCTTCGTTTGCGCCGCCTGGGGAGCCGAGGAGGAAGCAAGCGCCTCCAAGAAGGGGGGTGGGGAAGCGCTGGAGGATGGGGAACAAGCGACACCGGCGGATGGGGAGACAACGCCGGAACCTGGGCCAACGCGAGCGGCGGATGGGGCACCGCATCTGGAGCCGGCAATAGCGGCTGGGGCACTTCCCGCAAAGAACGAAGGGGGGAAGAGGAAGAAGCCGCGGAAACCGAAGCAGCACCTGCAGTCGTTCGCGAGGGCCTCTACCTGCAGGAGCTTCCGCAAGAGGCGAAAATTCCAACTTCGCCCACATTCCACCTTCACTGCGACAACCAGAGCGCGATTCGCATCGCGAACAAACCTGGTTTTGTCAACTGCACCAAGCACATCGCGCTGCGGTACTTCTTCGTGAAGGACGAGGTGGACAAGGGCAAGGTCAACTTGACCTACTGCCCGACGGGTGACGTGGCAGCAGACTTCCTCACGAAGCGACTACCACGCCAGCAGTATCAGCACTCCTCCGAACTCAGCGGCGTGGTCAAGCAGGTCAAGTCGAGCTACGGCCAGGAGTGAAGGGGGGTGTTACGAATAGTAATATTTGATATTACTGTGCACTCCTCACCGCAGCAAAGGGAAGCAGGCAATATCGAGAATGAATGTGAAGCGTCAGACAGTTGGAATCGAACCGAAGAGTCAGACGGTTACAGCACATCTGGACCGTCGGAAGCAGACGGCATCGGGCAGCTGCAGGCAGAATGGTTTTGGCGGGAACAGTTACGAAACTGTACGCGCCGCACAGTTGGGAATGAATTTGAATAAGGGAATGTACCCCTTAGGGTACATGGCTAGTTAGGTCATTTCGTATTCCCTTGT